AGCACCCTCTGAGTGTGAATTGTAGGATGCTAGGCTCCTTTTGGCTCTGATATTCTGGCTGAGTCAGCAGATGATGTCTCTGTGGCCCTGAGGCTATTTAGGGGAGAAACTATAGGCTGTGCACAAAAATTAAGTCTGGGCCCTGGGCCCCCCACCTGGTTCTGACTGGTGGCCCAGCCCTGCCCTGCAGGGAACACCAGTTTGATTAGCGCTTGGAGCCGTTAGTCTTCAAAAATTTGAGGACATATGCTTACTGGGTTAAAATTCAGATGGACACATTTGGGGAGATCCCTGCCTTTATAGTTTATCTCAAAATATAAGTGGCAAGGATATACATTTAATACTTAGGAGCATACTGCTGGAGTATATGTATGTATGTGTGATATGGCTTTTGTTGTTGGTGTTCTTTTATTTATTTATTTATTTATTGAGACAGAGTCACTCTCGCCCAGGCTGGAGTGCAGTGTCGCGATCTCAGCTCACTGTAACCTCCAGCTCCCGGGTTCAAGTGATTCTCCTGCCTCAGCCTCCTGAATAGCTGGGATTATAGGCGCGTGCCACCACGCCCAGCTAATTTTTTTATTTTTAGTAGAGACAGGGTTTTGCCAAGTTAGCCAGGCTGGCCTCAAACTCCCGACCTCAGGTGATCCGCCTGCCTTGGCCTCCCAAAGTGTTGGAATTACAGGCATGAGCCACCACGCCTGGCCCATTGTTGTTGGTGTTGTTAAAGAAACAGAGCCATGAGTAGTTAGTAGACAAATAGTTTATGCAGTAAATAACTATGGTTACAGTTCATTGTTGTCAGTGATACAGCATTTTCCATCACAATTATAGGTGAAACAAATTAAAACCTCATGAAGTAGTCATAGCACGTTCATGCTAGTGAGAGCATACAGAAAGCAATGCACGTGCATTACGGGGCAGACAAAACTGGGGAAGGGCTATATTTTCACTCACCTCTTGTTAACTTTGTGTATTTTGTCATTGAGACTTACATTATGTTTGGGTCAAACAAAAAACCCAAAGAGATTTTATAAAAGTTTACAACCATTAAACAGTATTGTTTAATCCCACAAATGGATAAAGCAAACTACTATAGCTCAACAATACACAAACCAGGACTAAAAATAGTCAATCTATGTATATAGCTAGCTACCATACAATAGATATTGAATATACTGAGTCTTTACAAAGGCATTGACTATTTTAGACAAGCAGGTTCCAGAAATACACTTGTTTTCAATGAGAAGTAACTGTAGTACCATTTCAGTTGAAGACTATGCACTCCTCAGTGTCAGACCTGAGGATAAGCAAACTAGGGAAAGGCAGAGAAGGGTTAGGAGAGAGACCTGAACGGGCTCTTTGGACAGCTCAGCATTACTTTCTCTGTGCAGATCCAGACCTGGTTCACAAAGTAGAACAAAGTGTATTGAAATTTTTGGCCCTCAAAAGGCATTTGTACAAAGTCCCACACGTACAGCACAGATAGAATGGTAACTGAGCGCCTCTCAAAATGAACTCTTCTATGTTCGAAGAAAACTCAGGGCCAAAGGTTAATGGAAATAAATCAGTGTTTGAATTACTGTATAAAGATAATTTATTCCAAAGTAGAAAAAGTGAATTTTAGAGAAGTGAAGTATTCTGGAATCTAGCAGGGGGTAGACAGAGAGAGAGAGAGAGAAAATCATGCTATCTATTTTATTACTTAGAAGAAGAAAAGTTTTGTAGACCATTTCCATAAGGCATCTGTTATTCTCCCTTCCATACCTGGCACCTTAAGAGACAGTGCAATGGCTCGATATTACCTTTGAAAAGGCTTCTTTTCCTTTGAGTTGTCTTACAGAAAGGGTGCCCTGGATTGACCATGCCACTCCGGGGTCACACTTCTCCTTTAGATCAAAAGGAAAACAACAACAAAATCACAAAAAGAAGAAAAAAATTCAGAAAAACTACAAAGTTGAAGGCCTCAACAGGCACAGACTTGCTATGAGGTCAGAAAATCAGTGAAATAATTAAAATTATAAAGCATGTCTCGCAAAATATACTGCTTCTTGAAAACCACACAAAACGCTTTGTAGTAACCCCTGCTGATTTCTTAGAGGTAAGTATTCTGAAAGACACATGCTTAGCCCCATGAAGGAAGCTTGATTTTATTATCAAGTCATCCGAGGGGGTCCCAATGCTTCCTTATTATTTGCTGTTTTATAATTACAGACAAAATGGAAAGTCTAGAAGTGTGTAGACCTCAATATAAAGAAAATCTTTCTCTAATAACTAAGAACCATGCTGTATTTACGTATTCAATTATATAGCTCCATTTATAGATTCTTGCAGATGATTCACTAACACTGACACTTTATACAAAATCCCTTTTGCAAGGACATATTAAATTTAATAGGCTAAAGAGAACTTATGCAATATAATGCTTGAAATTGTACACATGATAGCTGTGCACTGGTAATAAAGAGGCCTTGAAAAATTGTCTTTGTCTATAAATTACTACTGCCCTTTAGAAATAAAAGCTCCCTCACAACCCCTGAGCTACTTCCCTGTGACACACAGTGCCACAAACATCGTGGTGAAAATTCAGTGCCAAACCTAGCTTAAGGTGAGTTTTGTACATTTGTTTCTATACAATCAGGAAAAAAAGAGATACAATTTGTATCAACAAAAGGTCATTTCTGGTTATTTGAGGCATTGCTCCTAGCCGCTTTTGGTTCATACCAAAAAGAAGAATGAAAGGAGAATGACATCATTGTTAGTAAATCAGAAATACATATGCTTCCTTAAAAAATATTTCCTGTATTGGGAGGAGCTTACAAATTTTTTGAGTACTAAATATGAACATGTTCAAGATGATTGCAGGTGACAGGATTAATCTTGTGCTTCCCTATAAATTGTACAGCTAGTGGATACAGTGGTGCCATGGATGATTTTGGTAGGAAGATGAACTAACTGGCACATAGGCAGTAGCATCATCTGAGATTGTCAAATACCCTGATTTAGACATGGGGTCGATTTAGGAAGTCCAAGAAGTTGAACGTATGAAATGGTGTTTGTGTGAAATAGCAAGCACTGCATTGGCAACTGTCACTCTATGGACCTACCCGATAGAAAATACTTGTACATTTTTTCAATATGCTGGGGCATATGAAGATCAGAGGATAGGAGATAGAATGTAAAGCTGTGGTTAACTGAAGTGAAACATTGGTTAAGATGCAGTATTGATCAACTTGGACAGAGACAGAAAGCCAGAAAGCAGCATGCAAGCCATTATCAAACCACCAGAAACAACCCTGACTACAGCCTCACATTCAGAGTGTTTCACAGTAAGAAACATTTATAGGCAGTGTCATACCTTCTCATGAAGAAACAAAAGGCCAAGGCCCGGCCTTCTCAACTTTCATGAAAAAACGATCATAGAAGTTAGCAAGTTCCAGCTCAGGAAATAGTGAGCTGGTCATGGTTCGAAATATTGAAATATACAATGGATTCAAAAAGGGAATTCCTTTAGTGCAGCTTAAAAAAAAAAACAATAAACACCTCTTCTAGAGGCATTTAGCTACAAAGTTTTCCACCCTGAGCAAGGTACAAGTTGCGCAAATGGTGTTGCCTAAACCAAAAGTCCTGCCTTGTAATATCTAACAATTATTTAACAGCAAATGCACTCTCTTTGCGTGGATTTAAAGTGCATAACTGAGCCAGCTACTAGCAAAGATGCAGTATCCCATTTTGGAAACTGCCTTTTTCTACCTAGCAAATTTCCTGGGTTTGTTTCCTAAAGAAATTCTGTTCCACCAGTGATTGACCTTATTACCCAAAGGGTGGACAGCAAGGGAAACTGGATTACACGGCTATGCACTGTCCTCCATTACATCTCATCCTGGGATGTTGAATACTGCATAGGTCGGAAGTCCAAAGAGCATCCAATAGTCCCTCCTTGAGTGAAGGTTTTTTATTCACCATTTAATGCCACATGGGTTTGGCCATCTCTCCTGGAATAAGGGAAGTGGACTGTGGTGGTAAGTCCCCTGGTCCTTGTCAAACTCTTCTGAGCTTGTGTAGCACACACATACTATGCTTGGAACGTGAGCTTAACCACCAGTTCCTCTGCAGAAGAGTGCAACCTGATCCCTAATTTGCTAAGGTGAAGAGACTTGGAAGCTAAGAACTGTTAATAAATGTTGGCAAGTAAAATGTGCAAAGGAAATAGAGCTGCTTTGCTCTGGTGCCTAAGAAAGCAATGTTCAAATATTGCCATATAATTTCACTCTCAAAACTAGTTGAAACTATGAAATGTGACTTAAAATCATCAAGTCAGATTAGTGACCTATACAGCTATAGACTAAGGACTGCGTAGAGCCTTACCCTCTCATTATCACTATATGAAAGGTTGTACAGAGATACGTACACATCTCAAACCAAATATATACATTCATACATGCAATATAATTGCTAATAATAGGTTTAAAATATAGTTCTAGAAGCTTCAATGTGACCCTATAGCTTGGTTAATAAAGACTGAATGATCAGATATCCATGCAATAAAGTATGCATTTACTTTTAAATAGCTTTAAATATTTCTATTAGAAAAAAACCTAAAAGGTTAATTCGACATATGATCTGATCCTAATGCTTTTGCTCTCTAAATTGGATATATCATCCATACTTTGTAATATAGAATATGTGACTGAAAACTCTGGTAGGCTGGGCGTGGTGGCTCACACCTATAATCCCAGCACTTTAGGAGGCTGAGGCGGCGGATCACTTGAGGCCAGGAGTTTGAGACCAACCTGGCCTACGTGGTGAAACTCCGTCTCTACTAAAAATACAAAAATTAGCCGGGCATGGTGGTGCA